TCCAGCACGGAGGGAATTTGCTTCCGCAGCAGAAAAGGAGCCAGCAAACACCAGCCCCATCTCCATCCACCGGGTCCCACCACCATCTCCAGCTGGTTCCACCTTCCCACCCTCCTGGTGAAACCAGAGGCAGCGTTGCCCATGGCAAAGCAACCTCTTGAACCCAGTATAGGAGGTGAAGCATCACCCAGGGACTCGTGCCCCCACGCCCCAGCTCGGGGTGAAATCCCCCCCATGATGAAGCTGCTGCCACTGCTCATTCTTCCTCCCCAGCATCCCAGGAGGGGGGAAAAAAATACCACCCCAGAAGTGAATCCTGCTGCATGTAACATGCTCTGAAATGGAAAAGAAAGGGGAGCAGGAGGAGAAAGCGAAGCAGCAAGGCTGGGGAAGCATAATCTTGTTAAAAATCTCAGCAGGGATGCAGTGTAATTAATCCTAAGAAATTCATCACGGAGCAATCCCTCGGTCGGTTGGGCATAAATCAGGAGCCGGTGCCCACGGCATCGTCAGGAGGCCTTAGCAGGTACCTCCACAAACCTTATGGCAAGCGAAGCAGGATGAGTCCTCCCCTTTCTGCTGCTGCTGGAGCTGCCGTGGCCACCAAGGAGGCGGCTGCTTGCGAAGAAGAAGGGGTTTTGCCAGGTTATCAGGTGGCAAAAGGGGACCCAGCAGGCTCCTGGGTACCCAACTTCAAGCTGAGATGAGGAGCAGGATGGGGATGCTCAGGTGGACATGGCCAGCCCTCCTCTTCCCCAATATTTAGGAAAACAAGGCTGAGGTCTTCACAGATTTTAGCAACAGGGTTACATGCCTCGAGTAAATAAATACAGGCCGATTTGCTCTGAATTTTTGCAGGGATTGCCTTTTTGTCCCTCATTTTACAGAAGCTCCGTCACAAGCTAAGCCCAGCGCCGCCCTGACTGCATCGTTTGGCCTTCCTCATCTCTCCTCACCTTCACCACAAGCAATGAATTCCCTCCCCGAGACAATTTTTGCCCTAATGAGTCGAGAGAGCTGGGACACTTTAGTCTGGAGAAGAGAAGGCTGAGGGGAGACCTTGTTCATGCTGACAAGGATCTAAAGGGTGGGTTGAAGGAGGATGGAGCCAGACTCTTCCCAGTGGTTCCCAGTGACAGGACGAGGGGCAACGGGCACAAGCTGGACCATAGGAAGTTCCACTCCAATGTGAGGAAGAACTTGTTTGGGGTGAGGGTGGCAGAGCCCTGGCAGAGGCTGCCCAGGGAGGGTGTGGAGTCCCCTTCTCTGGAGATCTTCAAGCCCGCCTGGATGCTCCTGAGTGATGTGCTCTGGGCAGCCCTGCTTTGGCCGGGGAGTGGGACTGGATGGTCTCTAGAAGGTCCCTTCCAACTCTAACAATTCCGTGACTCCCTGAATAGCTAAATAAAGGATACAACGGGGGAAATACATAATGCAGAGCAAGAAAATCAGGTTTCCGGCACAGAGTCGGGGTTTCAGCAGCAAACTTCTGGCAAGAAGAGGGGTTCTGAGCATCCCAGACCTGGGACAATGCTTCTGAGAGCATCCTGCTGTGTTTGCCTGGATGCTGAACTGCCCTCAACGACAGCAAATCACCCCAAAATGTGGCTCGTACCCCATTATCCATCCTGCAGAGCCCACCAGCTGTTGGGGTTTTCCCAGAGCAACGTGTCTGCCCCTTCTCCTGCTGGAGGAAAATGCCGTCTTGAGCTTCTCCAACCACAAAGCCCATCCATGCCATCATGTTCCTTCACTTCCAATCACTTGAGACGCGTGAAGACTTAAAATGCCTCTCGGGGTTGGAGAAAAACCTGCTGCTGAGATGTTTTTGATCTCCCCCAAGTCTCCAGCTCAGGCTTTGCTGCCTCCTCTCCAGGCACAGCAATGTCTCCCCTGGCATCTGCCAAGGCTGGGAGGCAGTGCGGGAGTGGGACAGCAAGCACAGGCATGGGGACAACTCAAAATAACCCAATGCCACCCTGGAGAGTCTCAACTCGGGGCCAGGGCCACCAGGAGAGGGTCAGCACCTATCTCAGAGATCAGATGAGAGAGGACCAGCAGCCTCCTCTCCAGCACGGAGGGAATTTGCTTCCGCAGCAGAAAAGGAGCCAGCAAACACCAGCCCCATCTCCATCCACCGGGTCCCACCACCATCTCCAGCTGGTTCCACCTTCCCACCCTCCTGGTGAAACCAGAGGCAGCGTTGCCCATGGCAAAGCAACCTCTTGAACCCAGTATAGGAGGTGAAGCATCACCCAGGGACTCGTGCCCCCACGCCCCAGCTCGGGGTGAAATCCCCCCCATGATGAAGCTGCTGCCACTGCTCATTCTTCCTCCCCAGCATCCCAGGAGGGGGGAAAAAAATACCACCCCAGAAGTGAATCCTGCTGCATGTAACATGCTCTGAAATGGAAAAGAAAGGGGAGCAGGAGGAGAAAGCGAAGCAGCAAGGCTGGGGAAGCATAATCTTGTTAAAAATCTCAGCAGGGATGCAGTGTAATTAATCCTAAGAAATTCATCACGGAGCAATCCCTCGGTCGGTTGGGCATAAATCAGGAGCCGGTGCCCACGGCATCGTCAGGAGGCCTTAGCAGGTACCTCCACAAACCTTATGGCAAGCGAAGCAGGATGAGTCCTCCCCTTTCTGCTGCTGCTGGAGCTGCCGTGGCCACCAAGGAGGTGGCTGCTTGCGAAGAAGAAGGGGTTTTGCCAGGTTATCAGGTGGCAAAAGGGGACCCAGCAGGCTCCTGGGTACCCAACTTCAAGCTGAGATGAGGAGCAGGATGGGGATGCTCAGGTGGACATGGCCAGCCCTCCTCTTCCCCAATATTTAGGAAAACAAGGCTGAGGTCTTCACAGATTTTAGCAACAGGGTTACATGCCTCGAATAAATAAATACAGGTCGATTTGCTCTGAATTTTTGCAGGGATTGCCTTTTTGTCCCTCATTTTACAGAAGCTCCGTCACAAGCTAAGCCCGGCGCCACCCTGACTGCATCGTTTGGCCTTCCCCATCTCTCCTCCTCACCTTCACCACAAGCCGTGAATTCCCTCCCCGAGACAATTTTTGCCCTAATGAGTCTAAAATAGATGCTCCATCCATTAAAAAAAACCTCTCCTCTTGCAGTTGGAGAACAACGTCTGGCTTAAAATACACGGGGATAAACCTGCTTCGGTGTCCGTGCAGGTGGAGAGGGATGTCCCATCTCATGGCTTCATCATCATGCTCTGCCTTTTAAGATGTCCCAGACCAACAGAACAATAATGAAACACCCTCAACTCTGCCAGATCTTCCTTGCCAGCACCTGGGAACCACTACTTTTAAGATCCTGGATGGGCTTTGGGTACCACCAGCATCTCAACACCCTTCCCAGCACGGAAGGGCTTTCCTCCTTGGAGGTTTTCCCAACATCCCTCCTCCCCTTATCTCCTAAACGAGGTGTGTCAGGCAGCATTAGCTCAGCCTTCCCCTGATCCCTGCCCAGGGACTGTCCCTTGTGAAACAAATCTCTCCATGTCAGCAGAAGTGTCTGGAGTGATAAAAGCCCTTCAGCGACGGCTCCGTATGACCGGCCACTGGACACTCCCAAACTTATTAGGACCTTGACTACATCAGCAGGTTTTCTGCTGTACCTGCCAGCCTGGCTGAGGGTGGATGAATTCCTGGAGCCTTTCACTTCTCCTCCTTTAACCCTCATGGAGATTTATGGCCCTTGGATGGCTTGTGCCTTTCTGAGAAGATGACCAAGTCACAGAATCACAGAATCTTCTAGGTTGGAAGGGACCTTAAAGATCATCTTGTCCAACCATCAACCTCACTGACAAAAATAGACACCCACACAACAAACAAGGAGCATCACCATCACTAAACCAGACCTCCCAGCACTGCATCAACCCGGCTTTTGAACACCTCCAGGGATGGGGCCTCAACCACCTCCCTGGGCAGCCCATTCCAATGGCTGAGAACCCTTTCAGGGAAAAAATTTTTCCTGATATCCAGCCTGAACCTCCCCCGGCGCAACTTGAGGCCATTTCCTCTCGTCCTGTCGCCTGTGACTTGAGAAAAGAGACCGACCCCCCCTGGCTACACCCTCCTTTCGGGGAGTTGGAGAGAGCAATAAGGTCTCCCCTCAGCCTCCTCTTCTCCAGGCTGAACACCCCCAGCTCCCTCAGCCTCTCCTCATAAGACTTGTGCTCCAGACCCCTCACCAGCTTTGTCGCCCTTCTCTGGACCCGCTCCAGCACCTCAATGTCTTTTTTATGGTAGGGGGCCCAAAACTGGACACAGTACTCAAGGTGTGTCCTAGTACTCAAATACTCAAGTCCAACCCTTCCTTGCTCCACAGCAAGGTGCACGGTGGCTGCTCGCCTCAGTTTCCCCACCTGTAAAAAAATAATAAGAGTGATAATTCTTAGAGGTTTGGGATCTATTCATCTGCTTCCCACATCCTTGGTGCTGGCATGACCCACCTGACCACAGGAAGACAGGAAAAGCAGGAAGGCTCCTGTGCTCAGAGGAGCCTCCCAGTAGCTCCAACCAGGGATCATGGGATCCCTCACGCTGAACAGTGAGACATCCGACGTTGGGGTGGCATCAAGACAGTCCCCGTGGAAGATGGGATAGTTGGGATGATGGAAGCAAAATGCACCCATAGCTGGAGACTGGATGAAATCCCATCATTTGCTCCCCAGAGGAAGGACCAGTATTCCCCAGTTGGTAGAGACTGGAGCAAGAGAGCAGGACCAGTGTTGGTGCATGAGGTGTCCCCATTTCAGCCTTGTCCACACCAATCCCTCTGTGCCTTGAGGTCAGATCCAGTATCCCAACAGAAAGACTTAGCCAATTGTGGCAACTCAAGAGCATACCTTTATTGCAAGGCACTGCACTGGCTTCTAGTGCTTTGCCAAGGTGAAGAAGTCCATCAGCATGGCCAGCACGTGGGGGACAGCAGAAGAAAGAGTGACAGGATGGACTTTCCCCCTCTACCCCCAAGATCTCACCTTGTCCACGTGTTCAACCAGGAGCTGGTGGGCAGCCCAGGCTGCGGAGAGCAGCTCCTCCACATCCAGGTGAACCAGGTTCCCACAGACCTGGCTGGAGAAGGAAAAAGAGAGAAAAGAAAAGTGAGAAACCAGTGACAACCCATCCCCTTGTGCTGTGATCCCAGTTCAGTCCTTGCTCGCGTTTGCAATTCAATGGAGAAGGGCTTTTTCCTTTGTTTTTCCTTTTCCTTCCTCCCTCCCCAGTTTTTTTTTTTTTACCCTGAAGGTTTGGGGTCTCCGCACTTCAGTTTTCCTTAAAAAAATAAAATAAAAGAGAATTTACAGTTCAGGGACCTCCTGAGCCACAGATGCTTCTGAAGAGGTGATCCTGCATCAGCCAGAGGATAATGAGAATAAACACTTGAGACATGGGCTTCATCGAGACGGGCGAGCGCGGGGGGAGAGTCTGTGCAAATATTAATTGAGATGATCAAAGCCACCAACAGCAGAAGGACATGGAGCTGTTGGAGCGGGGCCAGAGGAGGCCCCGGAGATGCTGGGAGGGCTGGAGCCCCTCTGCTGGGAGGGGGGCCTGAGAGAGTTGGGGGGGTTCAGCCTGAAGAGGAGAAGGCTCCAGGAAGACCTTCCAGCCCCTTCCAGTCCCTCAAGGGGCTCCAGGAGAGATGGGGAGGGACTCTGGATCAGGGAGGGGAGCCCTAGGAGGAGGGGGAAGGGTTTGACACTGAAAGAGGGGAGATGGAGCTGAGCTGTGGGGAAGAACTTGTTTGGTGTGAGGGTGGTGAGAGCCTGGCCTGGGTTGCCCAGAGAAGTTGTGGCTGCCCCATCCCTGGAGGGGTTCAAGGCCAGGCTGGATGGGGCTTGGAGCAACCTGGGCTGGTGGGAGGTGTCCCTGCCCAGGGCAGGGGGTGCGATTGGATGATCTTTAAGGTCCCTTCCAACCCAAACCATTCTATTATTCTATTCTATGATGTTCAGGGTACCCAGGCAGGTGCAGGACAGGTAATAGTGACAAAGGATGGGACAGTAAGATGCCCTCACCTCCCACAGCCTCCAGACATCGTCAAAGGACTTGAACACTCACCAGAAGGAGAAGCAAAACCAGGGCGACCAGTGACTGAATAACTTGCAGGCCTTTTCCTTCTGAAAGTTGAAGAAAGCAAACACAGAAGATGCTGTAGCTCAAAGACAAACAGGAGCAGTTTTGAGCCGTGGGGATGGGAGGTAAAAGCCAACCTACCCAGAGAAAAATCAGGTTGTTAGACCAGGAGGAGAGGGAACATTTTCTGCCCAGACAGCACCAGCAGGACATGAGAAGGTCTGGCCCGTGGAAGGACAGCTAGGGAGATCTTAATGGTTGCTGTTTCAGCTCTTTCTTCATGCAACTCACAGAGTAAAGGGTATAAATTTAGAAGAGCAAGTGCAAAGGGCTAAGGTCTTCTGGAGTCTCACCACGGAGCCATCTCAGGAGAGCCAAGATGCGTAACCCTTGCTCGGTGGCCCTGACCCATGTCCTCAGAATATTTAGTGGGTTTAGGTGATGTCAATTGCTGTGCAAATATTTACTCTCCTTTGCTGGCAACCTCTCAAAACGACCCTGCTGGATCTATGGGGGTGTTTTGTGCTGGATCTGTGGAGGTGCTGAGGAGGCTTGGGACTCACCCAGGTGTTTTGCAAAGGTGGGATCCATAAATGCAACTGAGGTCTTCAGCATGGTGAAGCTCATCCTCATGGAAAGCAGGAATCCAGGGCAGGGAAAGCTCCCATGGCCCAGCTTGTTCGTGGCCACAAAGCCCTGATAATAGAGGATTTGACCCCTTTATGACAGCTCCATCCCCTGCAGAGATCAGGACAGCCTGGGCAAGTTGGATGATTCCCACCCAAACTGATGGTCATGGAGAGGTGGCCAGGAGAAGAGACCATGCCTGGTGAGGGGCAGAGGAAAGCTGAAGGCTGTAGGTGACCATTTCCCCCAGGGTGGGAGGACATCAGGCCAGGAGCAGGACTTTAACCACCTGGACTTTTTGATCCAAGGAAGAAGCACCCAGAAACATACTGTTTTCTGGAGGAAGAACTAGAAGAGCCAGTAGACCTCATGTTCCCTCTTGACCAGGAGATGGAAGAGCAGGAGCATCTCACAAAAGCCTTGCTGGGACTGTGCCAAGAGAGAGGCCACCCAGACATGCTCGTTATGCTGGAAGGTAGAGATGGTGGACGCCAATGGGAAAGGTCCTCCATGGAAAAACCCCTTGGGGTCACATGGGACCTGCTGCCTCCCTGCCCGCTCTTCAGCGTCTGTGTTGCACATGTAGCTCAGCAGAAGGATCTTCTCCAGCTGCTCCTTGTTGATGACTCTTCATCTTCATCTCATGTGCAGTCTCTGCGGGTCCAAGCCTGGAGGGAGGGAGAGACATCCACCCACGTTGGACATTCGATGCAGGGTGTTTGTACCAGGTGGCTTCACACCATCACACCCTGCACACACAAATACCTTCAGGGAAACAACTTCATGGGCAAAACAAGCTTGAGACAGGCCAAAGCTGATTTCCTTACCTGGAGAACTCAAAGGGGCTCCAAGACAGCTCTCCTATCCTGATTTTTATCATAGATTTCCTCCTCATCCAATAGTCCCACCACCCCGCCACCCCAATTTTTGCCCGCACGCTTGCCTACGTCTACAAGAAGTTTTAGCTCTGAGCAATGTGTGTAACCCCCACCACGTCCCATGCAGTTGGGGAGTGATTTCTTCTTCACCCAGTCAGAAGAAAAAAAAAAAAAGGAAGCAAGGAGATGAATCTGGCTGAAGGCAGGACATTTTTCTAAGGTCTTCTCCAGCCAGATGCATCATCTTTCATTTCTAAAGCGGCGTCTTTGTCACAGCAAAAAAAAAAAACCAACCCCAAACCTTACCTTCTTGCTTCGTCTGGGTTGATTTATGCAGGTTACATTGATTTGTAACATAAATTTTGCAAGATCATTTAATATTCCTTTTGTTGTACAACTTGGAGGAGCCTAAATGGGAATCTGAATATAATAACGCTCTTCACTGCAGTAAGCTCCTTTCATCCACCAGAAAAAAAGAAGTAAAAAAAAAAAAAAAAAAAAAAAAAAAAAAAAAAAAAAAAGGGCCCAGAGGTTCTCTCCTGACTCCCAGCTTCTCTCTAATGACATCTCCTGCCTTTCCATACACAATTCCCTCTCCCTGGGTCATTTGACCCGTTGCTGCAAAGCCGATGGCTCCAGGGGATGCTGTAGCTGGTGCCAGACCCAGCAGTGGTGAGAAAGAGAGGTGGGAAAACACCATAAATTGGAGCAGCTGAGGGGATTTTAAGGTGTTCAGAAATTCAATGACACGTGCTGGGGCTGGGCCAGCCGGGGGTTAGCGTGGGTGGGTTGCCATCCCTCGGCCTGCCCCCACCGTGGGGCAAAGACACCCATCCCAGTATCTCAACTGGGTGAAAAAGAAAAAAAAAAAAAAAAAAAAAAGGGCCCAGAGGTTCTCTCCTGACTCCCAGCTTCTCTCTAATGACATCTCCTGCCTTTCCATACACAATTCCCTCTCCCTGGGTCATTTGACCCGTTGCTGCAAAGCCGATGGCTCCAGGGGATGCTGTAGCTGGTGCCAGACCCAGCAGTGGTGAGAAAGAGAGGTGGGAAAACACCATAAATTGGAGCAGCTGAGGGGATTTTAAGGTGTTCAGAAATTCAATGACACGTGCTGGGGCTGGGCCAGCCGGGGGTTAGCGTGGGTGGGTTGCCATCCCTCGGCCTGCCCCCACCGTGGGGCAAAGACACCCATCCCAGTATCTCAACTGGGTGAAAACCCAGCATCGTTAGCCCTGGTCCTGCTGCAGCTGGTGGAGAGGAGGGAGGATTTCATTGCAGCCTCTCTCTCCAGTCCCAGCACGGTTTAAAAAGCAGCTGAAGGTGATGCAGGACCTTCACATGGTCTTTGGTGACCTTGACCCCATCCTTCCTTCAAGAACCAGTTGATCAGGGAGCTGACCAGGCTTGCATCTAGCTCTGTGCACATCTCCAGGGTTAGTCATCCTGCAGACAGCAGGACACTGAAACTCAAATCACTGTAACCCCCCCGGGGACCCCACAGTCCCCTCCCCACTGCTATTAGCACTTACTGATGGAGCTGGAGACATAGGAGAAACCTCTCTGCTGTGTCTCCAGCAGCAGCTGGATGTTGTGGCTGAAAAACTATCCTAAGTCTTGGACCAAAATATAATTTTTTAATTGATTTTTTTTCCCTGTTTTAGACACAGAGGGGTGTGCAGAATGGAGGGGGATGGGCTGGCAGATGGACATACCTCTCATGATGCTGTTGACCACGAACATCTCATCTTGGGAGCAGCCCAATGAGGAATCTCCACACCTCTGGGTGCACAGAGAATGCCAGGCTTTGGGGGTGCAAACACAGCACCTCAGGCACCCCATCCGTGTCCCCAGGGGTGGCTTTGGGGCCATTAGTCTGTCCTTGTGGCCCAACAAACCCTCGTGAAGGTATCAATGTCCCAAACCACTCTACTTGGATAAGCGGCTTCAGGGTTTCCTGCTAAAGCAGCCCAAACTTACAAGTTCTTTTAAACCCAAACAGCCCAGCAGAGGAGTTTTTCAGCCCAGATTTGCCCATTCCCAGGTGCACTGGGGCTCCCTGGTGTCAGGAGGAGGGATGGGGGCTCACAGGATGCCACGGGGGCACGGGCAGTGGCTGCACCCCCTTGCACAGGGTGGGATGCTCTGCACTTTTGGGAGATCAACCCCAAGTCTTGGCCCCTCTTGGACGACACAACAGAAAAGTGACTTTTTGGGGGTGGTTTCCCCTCCACACGCCACCCAGGTGCGACCTCCCCTGAGGTCTGGCACCCACCAGAGCCACCTTCTCCATTTCCAAGGTGGCAGGAGCATCCTCTCTCCCACCTCTCCATCCCTTGGGTCCCACAGCTGTAGCTCCCTACACCAGCTAGACAGGGTCTAAGGAGCCACCCTGCCAAAAGGCCACCAGCAAGCCAGCTCTAACCTCCCCAGATGCTTTCCAGACACTGCTTTTAAGCCCAGAAAGGAAAATTTCTCCCTCCCAGCCCAGCGAAGGGAGGGGGGGAAGACTGTTTTCACAGCTCTCCACGAGTGTGACAAGGTGTCTGGGTTCGTCTCAGAGCTCTCTCCCCGCTGCTTTTCAGGGGAAATGAAAAGCTGTTTTTAGAGGCTTAAAAAGAGGGAATGAAGAAAAAAAAAAAATTAAAAAAAAAGAAAGAAAAAAGGTGTTTCGCCCTAAGAATCAATTCTCCCTCAGTGGGCAAGGCTGACTAATTTGTAAACTGCAAGAAGAGAATAAAAAGAAGCCAGTGAGAGAGAAATGCCAGATGAGGATAAGCGCAGAGCATCACTAGGCAAAGGGATGCTGCTTCCTCAAGGACTTCTCTGTTCTCCTAGAAAAATGGGGAGGAGAAAAGTTACTTTTTGGGGGTGGTTTCCCCTTCACACGCCACCCAGGTGTGACCTCCCCTGAGGTTGGGCACCCACCAGAGCCACCTTCTCTGCCTCTGAGCCTGCTCGGAGGTCTGGCACCCACCAGAGCCACCTTCTCTATCGCTGAGCCTGCTCACCCTGTTGATGAGCATTTTATTTTTATTTTTTTTGGCTCTCTACAAGCAAGAGGAGAGCGGGGTCAGCCAGGCAAGGGTAGCAAGAGCTCCCCTGGGTTAAGGTTAAGCCATCCTAAGGCTCATAAACCACATCAGCAACCTATTTGGCTTCGACACAGCTCCTATTGACCCCACACCCCAACTCCCTCGGAGGGAAAAAGCAGCCCCCGAGCCCACATCACTCCATTTAATTCCAGCCCAAGCCTGCTTTTAGCCCAGGATAAAAAGGCAAGTGCAGCGTGGGTTAGCATTGCTAATTAGAAACGACCGGAGAGAAAGAATTAAGGGAATGAAAACCAGGAGAGGAAACGGTACCGGAATCTGAAATTTCTGCATCCAGCAGAAAAAACACTGAATGACGTGACCCCCAGGGTCCAAAGGCAGGTCCAGCAGGAAGGGGACACCAC